CGGATGCGTGGGTGGATAGCGACAGACTCTAGATAGCGGTGGGGATTGTCTGGTGATGGCGTGCAGCCTGCCTGCCTTGCCTTACGTGTATGTTTCAAATGCGTTCTTGATTGTGTACATTGTACATTTTTCTCCTAACGCTTAGGTAATGGTGTTTTGTGTTATCATATCACTATTTTTTTTCTTCATTGAAGTCTACTGATGATTGTCCTGTCAGAAACGATTTGTGATTTTCTGTATTTCTGCCATCAGGTGCTGAGGCAAACTTCAACAACCCTGGCATAGGAGGGTTGATTTTGTGTGCCATGCCTTGCTGTTCAATTCAGCATTATTTGCTCCGAGCAATTCCAAGACATCATGCTTCCGCCACAATTGGTCAGCACACAGAGGAAGCACACCAAATGGCGTCAAGATGCCAAGATAGACAGATAGAAACATTTTTTGTCTGACTTTAAAATAGTGTTAAGTGTCCAGTTGCATCAGTCTTGTGCCACCTTTCAGATTTTACTTCTCTCCTATTGTAGTGATGTGACGTGTAGTTCTGTGCCATAATAAGTGTCATATTCATATGAAAAACTTTTCGTGTAACTGTGTTAATGTGCAAGACAATAACTTTTTCTCATATTGAGAAATATAGACGGTAGGATAATGAAGATGCTTTCACCAGAGGGTCGAAAGAAGTGGGGTGGATCTGTGATCAGAGTAGGAGGAAGCAACGAGTCTGCTTTGCTATTGCCTGGAACACCACTGGGCTCAAGTAATTCAACATCTCTTCGACACTCATCTTGCTTGGCTTGTCTTGCAAGACCAATTACTGTCAAGCGATGTGTTGCAGCATTAGTCCTCCTCTCAACATTATCCATTCTTTTCTACACCCATTACCTTGGCAACCACCCATTTTCAAGGTGAGTAATGCTGCTTACTTTATACCTTCTGGTCCAATCCTCTATTTCAGATTTTTACTCGTTCTTTACCTCCCCTTACTTTATATACCGTGAGGTAAAAAGAACGAGTATTGTCCTTGGTGTGGTATAATTTAGAAACATCTGTTCATCTCTGTGACTAAGGAGCTTACAAGTATGAATGAATGTTTATTCTACTCAGGGAATCAGCCCTGATATTCCATAATAGAGGTTTTTTTCAGTTACCAGTCAAAAAATTTACTGCCTAGTAAAAATTTCTAAGTGTTTTTAGAGCTATGAGCGATGTGGTAGTGACTGTGAGTGCACCATTATATTATTATACTGAGTTACTAAATTACTCGTATGTATGGCATACACACTTATTTTGTTACAAGTTGATTTTTTTTATACAAAATTAACTTTTTGCAAAACACCCTTGTAAGATAAAAAGAGACACTTTGCAAACACCCAAATCAAAAGTATCTTCCTGGGAGCTATAGCAAGCCAGTGGCGCCATCTGCTGTTAGAAAACGATCCCGCGCCGGCCTTCAAACAAAAGAATGAACTCAACAATGTAGAGGGAGAAAAGATGGTAGGGTAGAAGGGAAGACCTGATCACGGTCTACTATTATCTGTGAAAAGTGCAATAATCTGGTTGGTATATTATTAAAACTGATACCCTCATTCTTAAAAACTTATTGCTTAAAAAGGTGTGTATGAATTGCATGAACTTTAACTAATATCTGATGTGTCTGTCACTAACATTCCTCTTCTAGCCATGTCACGTTACGTTACGTTATGTTTGAAAGGAACTGGAAAATGAAAATATGCTATTAACGAACTGGAACCTTGACACTAACATTTCTCTTTTAGCCATGTTTGAAACAAATTGGAAAATGAAAATATGCTATAAACGAACTGAAACCCTTGTGAAATTACACAATAAAAACCATTTTAGATTCCTATGACTTCCCCTCCAACAATTACAGTCGCTATTAGATTTTACAATTTTGATAAAAATAGCCCGACATACTTCTGATTCTTTTGTTGCAAAGTGAATCTTATCATCTTAAAGGGTGTTTTGCAAAAAGTTGATTATGTATGAAAAAGACTAAACTAGTAACAAAATAGGTATGCATGCCATATACATATGAGTAATTCAGTATAGTGATACAATACTGCATATTTACAATCATAACCACATGAAAGTTTGCTAAATTGTTGCTAAATGTTTCACTACAACTTTACTAACTTATAATAGATGTTTCTATGTTGTCACACATCACTAAAAACACATCATATATTCAGGGTTGGAGTAAAGAACGAGTTTATCTTTTTAACAGCAAATTAATTTGATGTTTCCTGTGCTCCTTGTTTAATTTAGATTTATTTTTTGCAGCCTTATTAGACGTGATACTAGACCAGAGCCTGCTATACGCTGTTCGCTCTCTGGAGGCCCATCACGCAATGCAGCTGCTGCTCATGATCATCGTTCAGCAGCTCGGCTTAGAATAGATGCCAAAGTCTTAGTATTTGTTGAAACAACATACTCTCGCTTGGGTCGAGAGATTGCTGAGCTGCTTGTGTATAACCGAATAAAGTATGAAGATAAAAAATCAAGTTACTTTTTGTATCATTGCTTTAGTCTGAAGTCTCGCTATTCTATTCATGATATATTATCTTGCAGGTACAAAGTTGAAGTTGCTGGTAAATCCCTTCCTATTCTGACCAATTCAGATAAAGGGAAATATGGTGTTATTGTTTTTGAAAACATCAACAAATATTTAAATATGGATAAGTGGAACAGAGAACTCCTAGACAAGTATTGTAGAGAATACAGTGTTGGTGTTGTAGCATTTCAACCTTCATCTGAAGAACCCTCTTGCTTGACGGATGCGTGGGTGGATAGCGACAGACTCTAGATAGCGGTGGGGATTGTCTGGTGATGGCGTGCAGCCTGCCTGCCTTGCCTTACGTGTATGTTT